GAAATTGTTCTTGAGATCATTGTAGCTTGGCACACTATTGTAAGAAATAATACGAGAGAGCCTATGCGCTCTTTCCCCTCCCCCGCCAAGTGAAAACATCTTACAAAATTATAGTACAATATGACAACCAGGCAAATGACATTGATGCAATCCACGCATCTTATTGAGAGATCCTGGGGCCACCTGGGTGGCTCAGTTGGTTGAGTGTCCAACTCTTGATTTTGGCTCGGGTCATGATTGGGGTCGTGGGATAGAGCCCTGTGTCGGGGTCCATGCTGACAGCGCAGAGCCTGCTTGGATCCTCTCTCTCCCTCTCTCTCTGACCCTCCTGTGCTCTCCCTCTCTCTCAGCCTCAGTTTTACTCATATACAGTGTGTGTGTGTGTGTGTGTGTGTGTGTGCATTTAGTTCCACACAATTTTATCACATGTGTAGCTTCATGTATCCACCACTAGTCAAGACAAAACAACTCAGTCACAAGGATCCCCAAGTTGCTTTTATTTTTTATAACCACACCCGCCTGTCCCTGTCCACAGCCCACCTTGTCCCTAACCCCTGGCAACCACTAATCTAGCCTCCAGTTCTAAAATATTGTCATTTCAGAAATATTCTATAAGATCATGCAGTGTGTAGCCGTTTGGGATGGCTCTGTTCACGGAGTGTAATTCCCTGGAGATTCATCCAGGTTTCTTTTCGTGTATCAATTATTCCTCCCTGCTTCCTGGTATCTATGTAGCAGAAGTTGTTTTACTCTTTGAGGGACACCTTGGCTGTTTCTAGTTTGGGGCTCTTCCTAACGTCGCTATGGACATTTGCAAGCAGCTTATTGGGTGGACACACGTTTTCATTTCCCCGGAGTGACGGTCCAGGGGAGCAGTTGCTGGCTGGACCTATCAGTTGCATGTTTTATGGGAAACCGCCAGCCTGTTTTTCAGAGTGGTTCTACCATGTTTACGGACGGACCCGATTTCCCAATCATGTTTGAGTTGGACTCACAAACAGCTTTTTTGGTTTTTGTTCCTAGGATGCCTGAAGCGTTTTTTAAAAATATTTTTTAATGTTTATTTATTTTTGCGAAACAGAGTGAGACAAAGCGTGAGCGGGGGAGGGGCAGAGAGAGGGAGACACAGAATCGGAAGCCGGCTCCAGGCTCTGAGCTCTCAGCACAGAGCCCGACGTGGGGATCGAACTCACAAACGGTGAGATCATGACCTGAGCTGAGGTCTGACGCTTAACCGATTGAGCCACCCAGGCGCCCCTTGAAGCATTTTTTTTTTTTTATCAGAGTATGGGTCACACACAGTGAGTGGGTCACAAGAAAGCTATTAGATTGGTATTTGTCTTAGTCCGGTTGGCTGCTGTCACAAAACAGACTGGGTGGTTTATAAACAACATATTTTTTTTAAGTTTTCTTTCTTTTTTTTCTTCAGATTTTCTTTCTTTTTTTTTTTCAACGTTTTTTATTTATTTTTGGGACAGAGAGAGACAGAGCATGAACGGGGGAGGGGCAGAGAGAGAGGGAGACACAGAATCGGAAACAGGCTCCAGGCTCCGAGCCATCAGCCCAGAGCCTGATGCGGGGCTCGAACTCACGGACCGCGAGATCGTGACCTGGCTGAAGTCGGATGCTTAACCGACTGCACCACCCAGGCGCCCCATCTTCAGATTTTCTTTATTGAAGTAATCTCTACACCCAACGTGGGACTCAAACTCACACCCCCCAAGATCAAGAGTTGCATGCTCTTCTGACTGAGCCAACCAGGTGCCCCCAGAATTTCTTTTTCACAGTGCTGGAGGCTGGGAAGTCCAAGAGCAGGTGCCTGGTCAGGTGAGGGCCCTCTTCTGGGAGGCAGAGTTCTCACGTGCTAAAAGGGAGCTGGGGAGCTCCGTAGGGTCTCTCTCACAAGAGGACTAACTCCATTCATGACTTACTCACCTCCCAAAGGTGCCATCAACCAATACCATCATCTTTGCTGATTAGGATTTCAACACAGAAATGTTGAGGGGACAAATGTACGAGAGTATTAAATGTTATTTTCTACCGCACGTAACTCCAGCTCAATAGCGTGCCTGGTGGGGCTCATAGCTGGATTCCTGATTGTCCCGAATCTGAGTCTGCTTCCCTGAGTCTGTCCCAGCCCTCCACTCCTCCCGCTGTTACCAATCTTACTTGTACTTCTTTGGTCTTTGGAGACAGGTGGTTGCTGTTCAGCCCCACAGTGGATATTGGTCAAGGACGAATAACCTTAACTAATAAGGTGGCAAACAACCAAAACCCCAGCTCAAGCCACCTTGGACAGCGGACAGTTTACAGACTTACAAAACCAGAATGCGGGAGTTAAGGGAAGGCTTCGGGTAAGGTGTGATCCTGGAGGGCATCATGAACCTCCCAGTTCTGTTTGTTTTATGTTTCGGGTTTCCTTCCACAGGTGGGGAAGCTGTTCCCCCTTACACATTCCAAGATGGGTGCTAAGAGCTCCCCGGCTTTATACTCGGACTTCTTCAGTAGAGGTCGAAGACCTCTCTCCCAAGATGTCTGACTTTGATTGGATTAGCTTAGGTCATGTATCCACGACAAACCCAGTCACTGGAGCCAGAGACACAACTGTGGTAAAGGGCTGCAGCCAGGTCACACATATCCCATCCCAGGTATGGGGGAGGGGGAAAAGTCTCCTTCTGGAACTATCCAAATCTCCAACTGAAATGGGGGATGTGGGGATGGGTGGGGGAGAGGTAATGGAAGCTTGGAAAACAGGCTGCATGGACACTTTGGGGGATCCTTTCTAACATTTCCATAGAATTTCTCTCGTGATTTTTCTGAGTTCTTATCTTTCTTGTTTTTTTTTTTTTAGCATTTATTTATTTTAAGAGAAAGTGTGTGTGTGTGTGCGCGCGTGCTCGTGCGCGTGCACATGCATGTGTGGGTGGGGAGAGCCAGAGAGAGAGAGAGAGAGAATCCCAAGAATCCCAAGCAGCAAGCTCCTAGCTAATGGGTGGGGGGAGGTTTGATTCCATGAACTTGAGATCATGACCTTTGCTGAAATCAAGTCAGACGCCTAACCACCCAGAGTTCTTACGTATCAACCATGTAGACGTTTCTTAAAACCTTTACACCTTTGAATAAGAAAGTAAACACTGAAAAAAAAAACAATTTTCTCATTGATGCTGAGGAAGACCTACATCTGAAAGAGTCACAACTTGCCTGTAATTATCAATATTTATTAATGAACATAATTATAATAAATTAGAGGTGGTCTCATGAAGGAAGCTTGGTTGAACTTGGCCAAAACATACCTAAGCTATTCTGCACACAGACCAGTCTATATAGATTGTAGAGCATCACCGATAATAACACCGGCAGTCCCAAAGTCACATCTCCAAGCTATGCGAGCTCGGGCAGGACTCGGTCTCTCCGTCCCTCAGCTTCCTCCCTGATAAAGTGTCAGCAAATAAGAGGACCTTTGTGGCAACGCTGCTGGGGAGAATAAAGCATTAAATACAAGAGAAGAGCTTCAAGTGGGGCCCAGCAGAGGGAGAGTGTTTAGTATAAATTAGCTCCGATTATTATGAACAATGAGAAAAATGTAATTTCACTTTTCTTTTTTTTTAAGTCCTTTAAAAATTTTTTGACGTTTATTTTATTTTTGAAAGAGACAGAGCACGAGCCAGGGAGAGGCAGAGAGACAGAGAGGGAGACCCAGAATCTGAAGCAGGCTCCAGGCTCTGAACTGTCAGCACAGGGCCCGCTGCGGGGCTTGAACTCACGAACTGTGAAATCATGACCTGAGTCGAGGGACTGAGCCACCCAGGTGCCCCGTGATTCCACTTTTCAACAGCAAACACACATTTATAATTGGCAAAGGAATACATATCATTTAAGAACAGGCCAAGGAAGCCAGAGAGAGTTTGTCAAAGACGGATGAGGAAAACCCAAGAGAACCCAGGGGGAATATTCAGGGCGAGACAAGAAAGATAAACAGAGAAAGACAAGGGGCGCCTGGGTGGCTCAACAGTCAAGTGCGGACTCTTGATTTCCGCTCAGGTCATGATCTCAGCTTTGTCTACTGCAGCCCCACGTGGGGCTCTGCGCTGACAGCTCAGAGCCTGCTTGGGATTCTCTCTCTCTCTCTCTCTCTCTCTCTCTCCTTCTCTCCCTACCCCTCCCCTCCCCTGCTCTTTCTCCTCCCTCAAAATAAATAAATAAATTTTTTCTTGGAAAAAAAGAAAGAAACAGAGGAAGACAAGACTGCGAAGCCAGGAAGCTGCTGCCCACAGGGCACTACAAACCTGCCCCAGGAGCTCCCTGAGGGCAGGCACGGGTGTGGGGACACCTGCCACTCTTGTCCCTCGGAAGGGAAGGAAAAGCTATGTTTTCGGCTCCTTCCTAGAGTGCAGAAGAAAGGCAAGCGAGGGCGCGCAAGACAAACAGCTGTCCAGAAAACAGACCCAAGCGGTTGGCTCAGGACAGAGGGTTGGGGCCGAGCCACGGCTGGCACCGGCCCGCAGGCGGGTAAAGTCCT